TATATATATATATATATATATATATATATATATATATATATATCGAGAGACTTCGTGTCCCACCGCTTGCCATGAGCGAAGTCTTGCACAAGTCCTGTGTGTTTAAGTAACTCGGTTCATTCCCCACTTATTTCAACTAGCCTGTTCTTTTTAACTCACATTACGCTTTTATTACATCGCTCCGTTCTCCCCCTCCATGAATCTTCACCTCCAATGAATCGAGATAAAAATAAAAACAGAAATCTGCTCGATATCATGGTGTAATTGAAATTTGTTTTGGCTTCTGCGATGAGGGTACGTTTATTTTATTCAGGGACAACTGTCACTTCCAGAAACTTTTAGAGAGGTGGATGACCTGGCCTGTATGTGATAGTGATAGTGGCTGTTTACCCTTACCCTTCTTGTTTGCAAACCCGATACATGATACATGATATAGGCCAAATTAAGCTCTGCTGCACAAAACATGTGAATAGGTATGGTAATTCATGGCCAGCTGAATATTTAGTGATAAAATTTGTTTTTGCATTATATTATCTCCTTTTATTCCACCACTGACGCTGAAGGCCAAACCTGAGAACTTCTACTGCCAATTCGCTCAGATTTGGCCTTTAGCATCGGCGGTTGCACATTCACCTGAACGCTTTAGATCGGTGCCCTGTTCCCGGTTCATCGACAGATTGCCGGTTCCGAGTCATGCGGTCAAATCTGGGAGCAGTACGGCATACAGCGGACAGAGATCGCCTTGCGTACCGTGCGCGAACTGCAAGATCAATTACCATTTCGACTCGGGATTTCTGTACGGTATGAACTTTCACCATCCAGTTCTATTGTTTTCACTTATCGATCCAATATGAATTTTTTTACCCGTGAATCTTTGTTTTCCGAACCGAACCGATACGGTTGTCTTCCCATTAAAATGCACAATATCAGCCGTATTACACGTTAAACTGAGTTTATGTTTATTTCGTTCACTCATTGTACTTCCACCCCCTTACGGGTATTGACGGTTCTCCCTAGTGTGTCACGCGTGCAATACCAACCCCACGATATGTGACGGGTGGTTGAAAACGTCTCAAGTCTTCTCTTTTCGAGACCTGTATTCCACTACGAGTCAAGAACAAGTGACAATACAAAGCGGGAGTCCAGAAAGAGTCTCCTCTACCGCGTGCGCGCTGCTACGTAGCGGATTAACTTCAGAGCGCAACATAACTCACGCCGTTTTCGAAAATGCACCACGTTACTGCCTCAAAGGGTGCAACCCCTCAGACAGCCCAACTCCTCTCCCGCTCCTTGCTTAAGATCCGTTACGATGCATCGTCTATGTACGGGTGAGAATCTGTGCATTGATGGCTCTTACAGTAATCCGGCATGTGTTAACACGCAAATTTTTACTCGTCACATATACGACGCGTCGAAAAGGGGCTTCGGGCAAGGACATGGGAGAGGATGGTGGTGTAAGCCAGGGGGTTACAGTAAGAGCCGAGTGTCGGACTGAATTCTCGTTTCAGTCACATCCTTAAGGTCAGCTCGCAAATGGGCACGAAGCGACGTTGATTTGAGGCGTTGATTAGGTCTTAAAACTCCAAAGACATCATGTTGTTCGCATATCCTTCTTAAGCGAGCAAAAGATAAATAACTAAAGAGAATAACAGCAGTATTTAAGTGTAACGTCTGGAGAAAANAAAACTGCTTCTGAAGAGGAAACATCACTATCATGTCACTAGTTCGGAGCTTTATTTTCGTGCACAATAAATAATTGTTTTCAAAATACCCATAATCGTGCATAGTTGGAAGCAAGGAGCCGTTTCAATAGTGTAAACACAACAAGTTCATAATTTCATAACAGCTCAGGCAGCTGTGTTTGTCACGAATCTGGGCAATTTCGTACAAAACTACTGAAATGTGGTTTCACTTGCTCCTTCTCCTTTTTCTTCTTTATCAAAAACTTACAGAAAAGAATTTTATAATGGCAGGGTTCCCAGTGCAGAAGAGTGCAGAATAGTGGAAGAAATGGGTAACTACCCAGAGTTGATGGAAGCAGTAGAATGTGTCTCCAACTCACGCAACAAGGTTTCGTGCAGTTAGCAGTGCATCTATATGTAGCGCTCACTAGTTGAATGACTACTATTGACCTCTGTAAGATGCTGAGCCTAGCATGAAGTCTTTCGATGCCCCGTGAAAACTGTGAAAAATGGTTCATCTGATCGCCTAATTGGTGTGAGGTGGCTTCTTAACGAGGAGAGTTCTAATACTAAACAAATCCAATAGTTGAGCAAATGAGCGATTACTCGCTTTACTCCATATTTCACATTGCACCTGTACTCGCAAATAAAACTCATAATCAGTGATAGTGAGGTTTTAATGTTCGAAAACATGACTGTTCCGAAGGTTTTACTTTTTCTCCGTTGTCATTCTCTTTAGTTACTCACCTTTTGTTTGCTTAGGGACTATATGCGGGCAGCCTAATGAGATGAGATGGAAACTTTACAGCTAATTAAGGGCGGTCCCTCAACGATGTGAGGGAGCTCGATGGTCCTACAAAAGTTCACCTTGCTAAATTTGGCCAGTTGACCGCAGCTATATGGGAGGCGGTATTTAGTTCCAAATCTATTCGCACCTTCCTCGCAGATCCTCTCACTCGCGTGTGGGGTGAGCTCCCTAAATTGGTTGATTGGACCTCTCTGGCAGTCTCTGAACTGGTATTAATTCCTTGAATTGGAAACTTTATTGTTATTATTATTATTACACACTTTAAGATAATATGCGGTAAGGACAAGACAATGTAAAAATCATCATTTCACTGGAAGTTGGTGGTATGCATTAATTATCAGTGACGTATCTAGACATCTTTTTGCAGTTTTGCTCTATTATATGCTATGCACTATTATATATGCTAATTTAGTACGTGATGCTTCCCAGCTGTAGCTGCGCCTAGGGTTTTGGAAACGAAGGGTTTTGTTGGACAGAGCTCACATTGCTTTCGGGTGCTGAGGAAAAATAAAAGGGATTTGAAGCTACAGTCTCAAGGGAACTAAAAGAACTAAAGGGAATATACAAGATTTGGAAGGGCGTAGGTGCATAAAATAGTGATGGTGCTGTGTAACCGGTGGGCTAGCCAAATACAGGGATCCGTAGGATTGAAAAGGAGCATTGAGAGCAGCTAATCTTGGTTTGAAGCCGGAGAGGGTGGTGTGGTTGAAATCAGAGTAGTACAAATGAGACATTGTGCTCTTCCGATAACAAGCAAAGTACAGAGGAAACTTAAAATGCTTTCATCCACATGTCTAAATATTTTCAGGTGACCCTGAAGAAACCGATACAAGGTGTCCAAAAAAAGTGTGGAACTCTCTTTTAACTAGTTTGCCTGAGGCGCCTTGAGAGGATGAATGATTCCACAATGCTATGAATCCACTTCTTTGATTACAACTTCCACAGCTTCCTTTGGTTATGTGTAGCATACTTATTTTTCGTTTATCATTCATTTTATTTATCATACTTGAATTGTGACGAAGTTTCTAACTCATACAATCGATATTGTTACACCTGAATCTGGTCTGGCAGAGAGGTCATCTGTCAACAAATTAGGGGAGGCTATCCCTTAGGCGAGTGAGTCGATGTGCGAGGAAGGTGCGAAGTAACTAGATTTGGAACTACATAAATTGGCTCACCCCAGCTATGTCTGTGGCCTGTTTATCTGTCTAGATTTGTCTATCACATAGTTTTCAGGGGATTTTTTCTCTCACGTCTTTAGAAGTGACGTTGACGATGTGTTGTGATGCTGTACAAAACAGTTCGTTAACCATGACTGATCAGATTCAAGAATGATTGTCATCGCCGCGCGCGGCTGTGGCCATGGTTGGAAGACCGAGGAATACGCACATTTCAAGAGCATGCTAGTTATTTATTTGGGCGTTTAGCAGATTGAATTTACTTGCGAGAGGAGAACGTTCACTTACACACGAAAAAAAACCTTTCACGAGGTACTCACGTTCGCAGGGGAAAATCTTGGCCTTGTCCGAGATGTGTAGGGTTTGTGCTAGAACATCATAGAGATGAAGATCTAAAAGAAAAAAACATATTTGCTCGAAGAAATTGATCCTAAATACGTATAAAATAGTATCGATTATTTATCTTTGACGATGTTCTCCTGCTTTTGTGAAGAAAGAGGTGCGGTAGAACCAAGTTGCACCGTTACTACACGTGTATTCCTAGGATTTAATCGCACGTTGTTATCTGTGAAGATCAGCTGTGCATCCGATCTCTTGATAACATATTCGTCTAGGGGGTAAAGGGGTTGGCTCGTAAGTCTTGCATTTCTTGGGTGAATATGCATTCAGACGTTGCTATGATATAGCATGAAATGCGCGTGCCCATTCTATACCGATCAACTTTGAAAATTTTACTTCTAATTTCCATCTTTTCTGGTTTTTTTCAATGCTTGTCGCTGAAAAGTTGAGTCCCGTTGCAATCGCAAGAGTCTATAGCGGTCTACTTCTGATAGCCATTGCTGATCCTCTGTAGATGTTTGTTTCGGGTGCCACTTTATACTCCAATGCAATCCCCTGCACTTCATGAAGGTATTCATTTTTTATTTCACTAATAGTTGGACGCCGTACACTAACCCCAGCGCAACAACGCACATTAACGCCCTCGCTTTTGTTTTGAACTTCATCTGAGCTTAATTGCTTAAGAATATGGCTAGAGGCTGTGTTGGGTTATGAGTCCATGCAAAAAGGTCGAAGATGTTCCGCTCACTGCGGAATGAGTCTCTTCTTTCCGCTTTGACCTATACTTGGCCTTTGCCCATTTTTTCCGTGTCTCCGTGTCTGGGCTTTTCGAGCTAGATTATGATGTTGTTCTCATTGCACTGCCCATTCCAAAGCATGTTCCTGTTTTTGTAGGTAGTAAATAATGGAGGTGACGCCATACGTGGACCGATGTTTGAACGTCAAGGACGTCTTCGTACGGAGTCGTGAATCTTTGGTCTAAGCACCGCTCACTTAGTAAAAGCCCTGCCTACCTCAAGGATTTTGACTACGTTCCTCATATAAACTCTAATCACATTTCTCCACCTCTCTAGAACGTCTTTGAACGTGGTCATGAATTTTTCATTTCGCCAACCTTAGTGCAGTCCCAAACCAATTTGGGAAGTCGACTGCATTCGCCACATGCTCTCTAATTGCTTTTTTCCCCATTCTAGACCGCTTTTTCACCAGAGTTATGATATTTTGATCTTAGCTCCTCCCACTCGCTGCACGCTCCGTCCACTTCTAGAATCTGACAACATTTCCTCTAAGACCTCTAAGCACGTTTCATCCCGCTTTCTAGAACGTTCCTGATTAGAGTTATGAGTTTTGAAACCTGGCCGTGCTTATCTCGGTACTAACTCCGCACACTTGAAGAGCTCGTCGCTTTCTTCTATTACATTTAACCACTCTTTTTCCGCGTTTTAGGATATTTCTCGATATAGTAATAAGTATTTGATCCTAGCTCCGCCTACCTGAGTGCAAGCCCGGCCCACCTGAGGCATTCGAACACAATTCCTCTACATCCTTCAACCGGGTGCGCTTCGTTGCGCGCGTCTGTCGATATTAGGTCACGCCGCAGTCGTCGCATGCGGCGGGTCGGCTAGCGACACTTGACGAATGTCGCAGTTGTCAGTGGGGCGTACGATTTGAGTTTGGTCCACGGCAGTCAGCTCAAAGAGAAGATAACACGGACAAATGCAAATCATTCGCTTCGCTGACACCTGGTGGTACTGTGATGCCATCTTGAAACCTCAGTGGAGTGCGCCGCGCGCGAAGTGGGCGGGGTGATCTACTTTCGCGCTACTTTCGACGGACGCGCGCAACGGACGTTCTCCCCTTCAACCATTCTTTCCCGCATTTTAGAACGTATCTTAACAGAGTAATGGATTTTTGATCTATAACTCTGTAAGATACGTTCTAAGCCCCACGCACCTTTGCGCAGACTTCACCCACCTCGAGAATTTGGCCCTATTTCTTCTATTACATCTTACCACTTTCCCCCGCGCTTTGGAGCGTTTCGGGACGGGCTATATTTTTTTTTCAAAAAGTGGCTTTCTTTCAACGCACTACCCGCTTGTCGCGTCGCTAAGTTAATGCATGCCCAGCACGAATAAGGCCTTGCTCACTCCTTTTGTTTTTTTTTTTTTGATTTGCGCTCTAAGCTTATGTGAGAAGTATCGCCCAGTGCGAGAATGCTCCGTACACCCTCGGTGAGCCTCGCTAGGCTCAAATGTGCTTAGTTATACTAACCCTGTGCTCAACCCATTTCGATTGATCCGACCTCCCCAGGTAGTTCTTCAGGTTATATCAAATTTCGTGACAGACAGATAGAGAGAGAGAGAGACAGACAGACAGACAGACAGACAGACAGACAGACAGACAGA